CTGCTCTCCTTTTCGTTACTGTGACTTTGTAAATGGTCCAAGTCGGACCGAAACGTCGTCGTAAGCTCCTCTCTTCTATGTGCGGGTTATTTGTGTATCGTTCCAGTCACGGTATTGTGCCTTTTTATATTATTTTACTACATTTCATATACAGCATTTATAACTTTAGTTTTAAATCATTTTTATTTCCAAAAGCTAAGTGTAATAAGTTCACTATTTTGTCATTATATATCATAATGACTATCTGTCCATTGAACTTTGTTTACCATTACTTAATTTAGTCCCTTGTATATTTTCTCCTTTATTTTAGCTGTATATAACTACCTTAGTTCATATATTCACAATTGTTAAAATAATCAATTTTATTCTCAGGGACTAAATTGTAATAAGTTCACTATTTTGCCATTATATTCCCACGCTCATTTTTTTTGGTCTCTTGTTCATATAGTGACATTTATTAAAATACTCCAGGTGCTATTGACTACCTCAGGTGCTACTGATTTTGCTTTTAATACATTCTTTTATTATTATATTCATTAGCTCCTTTATTTTAGCTGTAAGTATCTACTGTAGTTCATAAACTCACTTGATAAAATAATTAAGGTGCTATTAGATGCTTAAGTGTATAACTGAATAATCTATTCTGTAATAATCGCTTTTTCTTTCAAATTTTTACAAGTTTTATATTATTCACGGAGCCTGTCATAAGTCTAGTTGTAGATTCAATATAAATCTTATATCATTTTACTCAGAAAATCTAGTTTGTAAGATTACTCTCATCCTATGATTACAGGCATAGATCCTGATGTAAACTTTTTACAAAATGAATTACACGAATCAACCAGTAACTGTAATTACTACACAGCAGACCAAACAAAGACATTACTTAGTGCAAACAATAACATAACCATCTTTAACTACAATGTCAGATCCTTGAGCAAACATTATGATGACCTCACAGCATTACTCAATTCTCTTCATTCCAATATATCAATCATCACACTCACAGAAACTTGGCTTAAGCCTGATATTACAGATTTCTATACCATTCCTGGCTACATGGTCATACACAACTGTAGAACAGACCAGCAAGGGGGAGGAACACCTATATACTACTCAAATCCACTCTAATGCATCAAATCTTTCACAAGGGACGAACAAGGAGAATATATCATACCCAAATTTAAATCAAAAGACCTGCAAAAACCCCTCAGTTTGAACATTACACAGTACAACAGTCAAACATTTATCACTTTAGTGAAAAGTTAGGAAACATGATTACTGATGCACACATAAATGAAGACCACCTACTACTAACAGGTGATTTCAACAAACATACTACACGACCTGGACCCACAAGTAACCGAATTCACAAACAATGAGTAACTGCCTGTTGCTACCAGCAATATCTAAACCTACAAGAATCTCCGAGACAAGCATCTCCTTAATAGACCACATCTGGACAAACACCATAACCCCTTTAAATCAGGCATAATCACAGACAACACTACAACCTCTCATAACTAATCTGGGCAAACTGCCACAAGACATTACTAAAGTAACCTTCAGACTACATAACGAGACAGCAGTTAACAACTTTATAACAGCTATGAATAACATCGATTGGCAAAATGAGCTTGAAACATATACAGATATGAATATATAAATAATTTTCTAAAAAAAAAAAAAAAAAAAAAAAAAGCCCAATGCCTCTACAACAGACATTGCCCCAGAAAAAAACTAAACAGATCACAGCAAAGAGACTGAATAATCCCTGGCTAACACCCAGCATCCTCAAATCCATTAACACAAAGCACAAATATGAAAAACAGTATAGAATGGGTCAGATAACTAGAGAACAGTCGAAACGTTACTTGTCAGCACTTACCAGCCTGATAAGGTGGTCAAAAAAATTGTATTATGAAAAGAGATTACATAACATCAAAGGTGATATGAAAAAAAACTGGAAAACTCTATCTGAAATTCTTGGAACTAAAAAGTTATCCAAAAACAAAAAAATCAAACTAACAGAAACTCCAACCGAAACAACAGACTTAATGTTTTCTTCTCCACCATAGGAAAAAATCTAGCAAACAAAATACCAAGCACAAACACCCGTCCATCAGACTACCTCATAGGAACCTTCCCAAATACGCTATTCCTAGCTCCAACCAACCCCATTGAAGTTACGCTCATCATAAACACTCTTAAAAACAAGGCAGGAGACATAAACAACTTTCCTGCTTTTATGTACAAAAAAGCTTCTCGAGTATTGTCACAAATTATTGCAACGCTCTTTAACAAATCCATTGAATCATCTACCTTCCCAGCTGTATAACCCTTGTGGCTTAGCGCTTCTTTTTGATTATTATTATTATAATCTACCTTCCCAACAATCCTCAAAATAGCGAGGGTCACTCCGATCCATAAAGGAGGCGACCAAGCTGACTTGAGTAACTATAGACCAATATCTAACTTACCACTGCTTTCTAAAATCTTTGAAAAATTAATTCATAGACGGATCTATTCCTACCTCGTTTCACACAACATATTAAACCCTTGTCAGTTTGGATTCAGGAATAATAAAAGCACAAATGACGCCATCATACACATGCTAGAACTAGTATGTACCACACTTGAAAAGTCCCGTTGGGCATTTTCATTGATTTACGTAAAGCTTTCGATACAGTCGACCATGAACTGCTGTACTCCAAATTAATGCACTATGGTATCAGAGGCCACTCCCTCAACTACCTAAAATCATACCTTTAGTAACAGAACTCAATATGTGTATGCAAATGATGCAAACTCTTCCGCCCAACCAATCACAGTAGGAGTCTCACAAGGAAGCGTCCTTGCACCACTCCTCTTTCTCATCTACATCAATGATCTACCGAATGCATCACATCTACTCAAACCCATATTATTTGCAGATGACACTACTTATGTCTTTTCCCACCCAAACAGTCATACTAGCAAACAGTCAATGCTGAATTGCAGAAAATATCTGCCTGGATGATGACTAACAAACTTACCTTGAACACTGATAAAACCTATTTCATTCAGTTTGGAAACATAGCTGCAAATGATTCAATTAACATGACGCTAAATGGATCATCAGTCACAAGACTCGGAGGGAAAATTCGTAGGTTTCCACCTTGACAGTAGCCTTAAGTTCCGGAAACACATACAACAAATCACCAAGAAAATCTCCAAGACTGTAGGCATACTATCAAAGATAAGGTACTACCTTCCACAATCAGCTCTCCTGGTACTGTACCATTCACTCGTATACCCTTATCATACATATGGAATTTGTGCATGGGGATCAACAACATCCAATCACCTAAAACCCCTAATAACCCAGCAAAAGGCAGCAGTAAGAATGATAAATTCCCACTCCCGCCAACATACTCCACCAATTTTCAAGTCTGAATCTGCTCACCATTAAGAACATCCATACTTATTCATGTACCTACTACATACACAGAACAATACACGCAAATATAAACCCACCACTCAAACTTCTCCTCACCAACCTAAACAGGACACATGACCACAACACAAGACACAGATCTTTGATATACCTCGTGTCCATATCATTGTGTAAAAACTCTATGCACATAAAGGGCCCCAAAATATGGAAATCATTACCAGAAGATATTAAAGTAACCCAGTCTGAAAATCACTTTAAGACTCTTCTTAAAAGCCACTTAATCACCCTAGACTAAATGCTAAATACTCAGCACACATTTACTCACCTATGTACTCCCACAGCATAACTGAAACAATCACATTGAACCTTTTATCCATTGTTGACAGGAATATAATTGAATCAATTTTTTTTTTAATTTATCTTTGTATTATACAAATTTTGACTCAATTATAATTAATATTCTACTGTATAACTATAAAATAATTACTATCCTACTGTACAACTATGATATACTCCTTAGTGTTAAGTAGACTGTAAGCCAATAATGTTAAGTTGGCCAATAATGCCTAGGCATAATAGAGGCTCTTTGAATTGCAACCCACTATTGTAAATACAAAATCTCAATGTACTGTTTGCAAAGACATTAAATTAATAAATAAAAAGCTAAGTGATTTAACTTCTAAGCACTATTCAGAGACATCCTCTTGCAGTTTTAAAGTAAATATTATTTTTTGTTAGGTAAAAGGACGCAAGTGCATCTAATGTAAAATTTTATTGTGGCAACGTTAGTCTCCAGGAGCTTTGTCAAGCCGTTACCAACAGTACGTGGACACAGAGGGTGTATATAGGTTTACAGTGAGGTGTAGTTGTAATACTCGTGGTAGTAATAATATTACATATGGTAGAAAATGTTGGCATGTACACGAGTTAAAGGTTATAAAAGTTTATTGCTTTGGTAGCAATAAGCTTTCATAACCTTGGATTTGAGAAGGTTTGTTTGTGTTTTTCAGTGTTCTTATGTAGTATCAGTAACTGTGTGATGGCAGGATTATTGAGGAAAATTCTTTCCTAGACTTCGGAGATGATGAATCTGCCTTTTTGCATAACTGTATTTAGATAATGATTCATGACATTTACGTCAGCGGAAATTAGGTTCTTTGCTCACTAGTCGGGCATCACTAAACATGAGGTGAATGGTGGAATTCCGGTGTTGCATACAAACATTGTTAAAGTTGTCATGTGTTCACTAAGACGTGTTTCGAGGTTCCTCTGTTTCACATGCATATATTCTGTGGCAGCCTCCACTAGGTTTAATGTAAAACCCTGCATCGACTCTCATGGTACTTCAATTTAGTCCTGGTTAGATATCTTATGAAAGTGCTGAATCCGATAGCGACTCGTGTTAGCTTGTGCGTGTACTTTAGAAATGTTCATTGCAACCTGGTTGTTGCTCCTGGAGAGCTAAACGTTGCCACAATAAAATGTCACACTAGTTGCACTTGTCCTTTTACCTTCCATATTGTCCGTAATTCTAATAACATTAATGCACTTCGTTTCTTTGCAGGTGTAAAGAGTAAGAAAATGGCCAGCAAGCAGAGAGAAAAGGAGTATCAGACTGTAAGATTTTGATTATAACTTATTGTAATATTAACTTCATAATTATATTCATGGACGAAATGCTAGAGCTGATACAAATGGCGCCTGGTTAATGGCAGCCATTGTTTGGCCTAAGGACAATTAGTATTACCTGGATAAAGTCCATAACTGTAGCACATTGAAAGGGAGACCGAGTTAAAACTGTACTCGGTGCTTCTGCTAAGTAATTGCTTGTCCACTCAGTTTCATCCATCTCAGTTACATTGAACTCTTAATGCACAGTTTCTGATGGGTTTCGGGTTCTCCAGTTTGAAGACTCCGTCTCTGTTTTATCCGGATCCCGTGTTAGACAACATGCTCCCCTTATCACTTCATTGTAAGCGTCTTATGATCCGAAGGTAACATTGGCAGTGATCATTGGTCGGGGCTTGATGTAAGCCTTACATGTTAGGGTCAGTGTATGTTCTGTTGTGGGTGAGAAAATATACTTGCCCTCCTGCTGAACATGAAGGACAAAGATGGTTAATGAACTGCCAGTATCCGTTCTTGTGCTGTTCCAGGATGGGCATTTGGTTAACTATTTCCAGCTTAGCTTTCTAGATCGTGTCAATCATTCTTGGATACATGTTTCCACTGGTGCATAACATGATTCTCCTTTTAAGAGCCTCAGAATAGTTTTTACAACTTGTACTATGAATTTTTCTTTCCAAGAAGAGGAAGGTGAAAGAGTACCCCGGCTGTGGTCTGTTTGGAATCAGTGGTCTGGTTTCCTCTCTGTACTTCTTGGATAGTCCCTGGATGGGATTCTCCAGGTGATGAGCTCCGGTGATAACACTGGCTAATTTCGCTGTGCATAATTTTCCTCATGCTTTGAAGAATAAAAGTTGAGCGAGGATGGTGCTCACTTTGTGGTGATCAGCCACAACGTCTCGTCTTCTGTACAGTTACCAATCACATCCTGTGTGCTCACTGCAGAGCTTTACCCAATTCTTCTTGCCCTCGTTCAGATAGTCAGCTAGGTGACTCTGTTCACTGTCCACTCTGATACTCTTCACCTTGTATTAATAAAACTGCAAGTAGTGAGCTGTCTCCCTGTGAATCGCAAGAATGTTAAGTTGTAAAACTGCTTGGTCCTTATTGGTGTGTCTGGAAATACTGGCAAATGAAGTAAGTTATTCCCCGCTGGCTGTATGGCATACCTACATACCCTTGTTACCATCCTCCTCCTCCTTTGTCAACAGTGCCTCTGCTGGGCACAATGCCCGGTGCCATGGCTCCCTTGATAATCAGTGTTTAACCTCCTCAAAACCTCCTAGTAGGCCTAGTGAGGAATCTACCTACCTGAAGGGTGTTAAGGGGGTCAATGCCCTAGCGGTCGGATCCTTGAAGAGACCTCTAGGTGGATCAGGGCCTGACCAACCTCTAGATGTTATTGCTGGTCACACGTAGTCCACTGTATGAACCACAGCCCGGTTAATCTGGTACTGACTTATTTTTCCAGCTCCCCCTGAAGAAAACCAGGGGTCTATTAAAGTAAATTATGCAGGGATCTGTAGGACTTTAGTTTTACACTTTTCTACAGAAGCTTCACTGGGAGACATTTGTCAGAAAACTGGGCACACTCCTGTAACCTCCAGCTTTCAGGAAGTCTTGTAAATCCTCCCTTTCCTTCCCTTCCCTTCCCTTCCCTTCCCGTCTTCCTTGTGGCAAACAGCGGAATGATACATTTTTATTGTTTACACAAGACTTAGATCTTTCTACACATTTCGTTGATGCTTTATAGTCATTGAAACACTTGTACAGATCTCTGGTCACTCTCCGTTATTTTATGTCGTGAACCATTTAAAGACTTGACTTTTATTTTTCATTTATGCTGGTAGTTTTCACTATTTTATTAATGAACATTGTATTTATTTAACGTTATCAAGAGTTCTGAATGAACTAATATGCAAAGCAGTCACCAGGTTATGAATCTAACTACCTTCGTTTTCTCTGTGCTTTTGATTCCCCCAGGTAACCTATCTTAATTAAGAGGTAAAATACTTGCTGTACTTATACTAAGGAGTAGAAATTCCTAAAAATTTAGGGTATCTAAATGTAAAAAATAAAAAAATATTTTGCATGTATATAGTAAAAGCAACTGTGTGTACTTATTGAGGGGGAGGGGGTATGAGATGACTAGCAGGATTAATGACTATTCTGAGCAGGGTGGGGTCTTCAGTGGGGGAGGTCCTCTCTGGTGGGAGACAGGTGTTCATCAGTAGTGGACATGAGTGAAAGAATGTTCACAAGAAGTAATTACTACAGGAAGACACTGGGACCCACGTATCGTTACAAGAAGACACGGGGGCCCACGAATCGTTACTACAGGAAGACGCGGGGGCCCACGAATCGTTACTACAGGAAGACGCGGGGGCCCACGTATCGTTACTACAGGAAGACGCGGGGGCCCACGTATCGTTACTACAGGAAGACGCGGGGGCCCACGTATCATTACTACAGGAAGACGCGGGGGCCCACGAATCGTTGCTGCACGAAGACATGGGGGCCTATGCATTACTAGAAGACCCTGGGGCCTATGTAACGCTACAAGAGGTTCCAGGGGCCTACTCATCTCGTTACTCTACGCTCAGGCATTCAACAACGCCAGATAAATGTAAGTAGTACTAACTAGCCATTTCTGTCGCTCCACAATCCTATCCCATAAGGCTGGGCTTATCCCATAAGGCTGGGCTTATCCCATAAGCCTAGTCTCCTCAGCTTCAATAATGCATGGTCTTAAAATTCCTGTGCTGCAAAGTGTATAGTTGGTATAAATTTTTGTACACGAGTGCTTTTTCAAGTGCATTCAGTACATATGTATATTTCCTTTTTATCTTTACGTTAACTGAAGTATGCGTGTGCATGTGTGTGTATAAATACGTGTGCATAAGTGGAATATATTTATATACTTTTAAGGACACATCCGTAGTTTCCCACCAAGGCAGGGTGACCCGAGAAAAAGAAACACTTTCATCATCTCTCACTCCTCCACTGTTTTGCCAGAGGCCCTCCTACAAAACCATTCCAAAAACTAACAAATCTCCACTCCTGAGTGCAGGCACTGTATTTCCCTGAATCCCTTCATAAATATTACTTGGACACACTCCAACAGCACGTAAAGTCATGAAAACCTCTTACCTCCAATAAATCATGTCAGATACGCTCACAAACGCTGAATGTCTAAGGCCCTCGTACACAGTTACTGTTACACCCTTCTTTCAACCTTTCCTAGGACAACCCCTACCCCGCCTTCCTTCCACTACATGTATACTTTCCAAGTCGTCCTATTTTGTTCCATTCTCTGTTCAGACCATCTCAACCCTTTCTCAGCCCTCTGGCTAAGAATTTTAGTAACCCCACACCTAATATCCGAGCAATGGATTCTCTGCATTATATTCACGCCGCACGTTACTACTTACACACACACACACACACACACACACACACACACACACACACACACGGACTCGACCCCCGCAACCTCAACCTCAACTAGGTGAGTACACACACACACACACACACACACACACACACACACACACACACACGGTGGGTGCAGACGTGGGTACACAAGGCTCTGAGAACCTTCGTGTTTTTGAGGCGTGCAATAACCCCTAGCAGTAATCAGTGGTAGTGACAAAGTCAGTGAACAAACCTACGAGTGATAACTATAGTTATTAGTTGAAAAAATTCGAGGGCAAACCTAAATTCAGTATTTTCTTTTAAAAGTGCCATACCGTTGTGGATCTACTAGGCACTGTTGCCACACAGATACAAACATAAAAAGATCAAAGTGAGTGTGGAAACGGGTGATCAAGAATTACCAGCGTTTGGTTAACAAGTGAAATGTGGGGCACCGTAATGTGAGAGTGAAAAAGTTAATAAGCAAAAGGAGAAAGAAAAAATAAAATATACAACAAGGGAAGGTGGCAGTAGGCCTACTGAAGCAGTGACGTCACAACAGTTTGTATGCCATTATACATATAAAGTTTAGCACCGAATGTGAAGTGTATTCTGTAATAAGTGAAAAGTGAAATTACTTGAGGAACGCGGGATACATGAGCATATATGGTTATAAACATCACGGGTGAAGGAGTTACAAAATAGTGATAGAAGGCCTATGTACGACGATACGTCATCAGCTTCCGGCAACTTGTCATCACACCGCTGTCAGCGCAAGTATTTCACCTGTTGAGGTTGCATTTTGCAAGGTTGAGTCTGGTCCTGCATCACTGTTAGATACTGGTCACTCACTCCTGCAAGCCATTACCAGAATTAGAGTAGAAATAGCATAGACGAGAGTGCAAGGAGTAAAGCGGTAGTGAGGGATAACGTCAGACACTTAAGCTGACACAAGCTAAATTTTACAACCTAGCTACTTTCTGAATTTTATAAGTAGAATCGATAAGTGTTACAAGTATTGGTAAGCTTAGAATTACTGGTATCTACCGGTATTTATTAGTAGTATGAATACTTAGAAGTGGGGGCACACACACACACACACACACACACACACACACACACACACACACACACACACACACACACACACATACACACACACACACATACACACACACATACACACATACACACACACACACAGGAACAAGCACTTGTAAGCTGTAGTACACACGCAAACACACACATACACAGGATTTCACACCGTCCTGTGAACTGACTATCTGAACCTTGCTCCTCTCCCCCCTCTTCCTATCCTAGGTAGGGACCTATCTCTACCTTTCTCACTCTTTACCTATATCTCTCTCTACCTATCACTCTCTACCTATCTCTCTCTCTCTCTTCCCTCTCCCATCTCTCCCCTCTAACATCTCTTACCTCTAACACCTTCCCCCTCTAACATCTCCCCCCCTCTAACATCTCTCCCCTCCCATTATCTCTCCCCTCTCCCTTTCCCCATCTCTCTCCCTCCTCCCCTCCCTCTCTCCCCTAGCCTCTCTCACTCTTCCATCTCCCCCCTCTTTCCCCTTCTCCCCCTCTTTGCCTTCTCTCTCTCTCTCTCTCTCTCCCTCTCTCTTGCTCTCTCTTTTCCCATTTTCCCTTCTAACTCTCCCCTCTCTACCCCTTCCCCTCACTCTCTTTCCCCTCTCTCTCTCTCTCACTCTCACTCTCTTCCCCTTTTTCCTTCTCACTATCCCCCTCTCTCTACCTTCCCTTCTCTCTCTCTCCCCCCCCCCTTTCCCTTCTCACTCTTCCCCTCTCTCCTTCTACCTTTCCCTTCTCTCTTCTCTCTCACAAAAAAAAAAGTATGGTGGGGACTTGCAGGAACCAAGGATCAGATGAGAATGGTTCTGGTAGGGAGGAGTGGATGGAGGAGCAGTGGAAAAGGATGGAACAAGAGTGGGAGAGAAAATTAGGAGAGCTTTCTGGAAAAAAATGGAGAAAGAGCTCTCTGTGAAATTGGAAAAGAGGTTGGAGAGGGAGACAAAGAATTGGGAGGCACAAATCGAAACTGCAGTAGCCAAGATAAGGGTCCTAGAAGTTGAGATAAATAGGCTGAAGCGAGTTAAAGGGGCAGTGACCAGAGAAGACACAGCATATGAAGCTGCGAGGCCGAACAGGAAGGAAGGAATTATGAATTATGCTAAGGTCATATCAGCTTGCCAAGGAGGACCAAGGAGTGAAAGGGAAGAACAGCTGGTTGCAGATGGAGAGGGTGATAGGTCGATTGCTGAGGCACAACCAGGCTATCAAGAGCCACTGGAAAAATCAAGGGAGAAACTGACCACATACAGGCAGGATCCAGAGTCACAGAGGGTGAGGCAATGGGAGGAAGAAAAGGCAAAATCAATGTTTATCCATGGGCTTCAGGAGAGAGAGGAAAGGACACACACTGAAAGGCAGCAGGAAGAAAGAAAGGAGATTGAGAAAATCATCACGGAAATAGGTGAAGAGATGGACGAGATTGTAAATTTTCAGAGAATAGGGGGGTACTCGAAGGGGAGAAACCGACCAATCAAGCTGATTCTCAGGATGGAAACAGTGCGGAACAGGATCCTCCAAGAGAAACCACGATTGAAATACTCGGAAGAGTACAAGAGGGTGTTCCTAGACAGAGACAGAACAAAATCAGAACGACAGCAGCTGAGGAGAGGACAAAAAGCGAAAGGAGCTAGGAAAAAGAGACAAGGATGGGAACCAGCAGAGGTCAGTCAGAGCAGAACAGAACAGCAAGGGAAAGCACACACACAACTATTCTCAGAACCATACAACCTATCACACCATCCCAAAACACTACAATCCATACCCACAGCCTCCACCCAACACCGAGCTATAGAATCCCACAGTATGCCACCAGGTCTCCCACCCTCACAGACCCCCCAAACCACAGTGTTGGAAAGGAAACTGAAGGTATGGTACACAAACGCTGATGGAATAACAAATAAGTGGGAGGAGTGGCATGAAAGAGTCAAAGAAGTATCACCGGACATCATAGCTCTCACAGAAACCAAGCTTACAGGTATGATAACAGATGCCATCTTTCCAACGGGATACCAAATCCTGAGGAAAGACAGAGGGAGCAGGGGGGCTGGAGGAGTGGCGTTGCTGATCAAAAATCGCTGGAATTTTGATGAGCTGGAGAGAGGAGACAGCGGAGAAGAAAGTGATTACATAGCGGGAACACTTCACTCTGGAGGTCCCAAGGTGGTAATAGCAGTGATGTATAACCCACCACAGAACAGCAGGAGGCCAAGGCAAGAGTACGACGAAAGCAATAGAGCGATGGTTGATACACTGGCTAGAGTGGCCAGAAGAGCTCATGCATGCAGGGCAAAGCTCCTGATCATGGGCGACTTTAACCACAAGGAGATCGATTGGGAGAACTTGGACCCACATGGGGGCCAAGATACATGGAGGGCTAAGATGATGGAGGTGGTACTGGAAAACTTCATGTGCCAACACGTAAGGGACACTACAAGAGAGAGAGGAGAGGATGAACCAGCAAGGCTGGACTTAGTATTCACCTTGAGTAGTGCAGATATCAAGGACATCACATACGAAAGACCCCTTGGGGCCAGTGACCATGTGGTTTTAAGCTTCGAATACACAGTAGAGCTACAAGTGGAGGGAGAAGCAGGAAGGCCAGGACGAATGAAGCCAAACTACAAGAAAGGGGACTACACAGGAATGAGGAACTACCTGAACGGGGTTCAGTGGGACAGAGAACTGGCAGGGAAGCCAGTTAATGAGATGATGGAATATGTAGCAACAAAATGCAAGGAGGCTGAGGAGAGGTTTGTACCCAAGGGTAACAGGAATAATGAAAAAGCCAGGATGAGCCCATGGTTTACCCAAAGGTGCAGGGAGGCAAAAACCAAGTGTGCTAGGGAATGGAAGAAATATAGAAGGCAAAGGACCCAGGAGAATAAGGAGACCAGTCGTAGAGCCAGAAACGAATATGCACAGATAAGAAGGGAGGCCCAAAGACAATATGAAAATGACATAGCAGCGAAAGCCAAATCTGACCCAAAACTGTTGTACAGCCACATCAGGAGGAAAACAATAGTCAAGGACCAGGTAATCAGGCTAAGGAAAGGAGGAGGAGAGTCAACATGAAATGACCGTGAAGTATATGAAGAACTCAACAAGAGATTCAAAGAAGTGTTCACAGAGGAGACAGAAGGGACTCCAGAAAGACGGAGAGGTGGGGCACACCACCAAGTGCTGGACACAGTGCACACCACCGAGGAAGAAGTGAAGAGGCTTCTGAGTGAGCTAGATACCTCAAAAGCAATGGGGCCAGATAACATCTCCCCATGGGTATTGAGAGAGGGAGCAGAGGTGCTATGTGTACCCCTAACAACAATATTCAATACATCTATCGAAACAGGGAGATTGCCTGAGGCATGGAAGAAATGTAGTCCCAGTCTTTAAAAAAGGAGACAGACATGAAGCATTAAACTACAGACCAGTGTCACTGACATGTATAGTATGCAAAATCATGGAGAAGATTATCAGGAGAAGAGTGGTGGAACACCTAGAAAGGAACGATCTCATCAACAGCAGCCAACATGGTTTCAGGGACGGGAAATCCTGTGTCACAAACCTACTGGAGTTCTATGACATGGTGACAGCAGTAAGACAAGAGAGAGAGGGGTGGGTGGATTGCATTTTCTTGGACTGTAAGAAGGCGTTTGACACAGTTCCACATAAGAGATTGGTGCAAAAACTGGAGGACCAAGCAGGGATAACAGGGAAGGCACTACAATGGATCAGGGAATACTTGTCAGGAAGACAGCAGCGAGTCATGGTACGTGGCGAGGTGTCAGTGGGCACCTGTGACCAGCGGGGTCCCGCAGGGGTCAGTCCTAGGACCAGTGCTGTTTCTGGTATTTGTGAATGACATGACGGAAGGAATAGACTCTGAGGTGTCCCTGTTTGCAGATGACGTGAAGTTGATGAGAAGAATTCACTCGATCGAAGACCAGGCAGAACTACAAAGGGATCTGGACAGGCTGCAGACCTGGTCCAGCAATTGGCTCCTGGAGTTCAATCCCACCAAGTGCAAAGTCATGAAGATTGGGGAAGGGCAAAGAAGACCGCAGACGGAGTACAGTCTAGGGGCCAGAGACTACAAACCTCACTCAAGGAAAAAGATCTTGGGGTGAGTATAACACCAGGCACATCTCCTGAAGCTCACATCAACCAAATAACTGCTGCAGCATATGGGCGCCTGGCAAACCTCAGAACAGCATTGCGACATCTTAATAAGGAATCATTCAGGACCCTGTACACCGTGTACGTTAGGCCCATATTGGAGTATACGGCACCAGTTTGGAACCCACACCTAGCCAAGCACGTGAAGAAACTAGAGAAAGTGCAAAGGTTTGCAACAAGACTAGTCCCAGAGCTAAGAGGTATGTCCTACCAGGAGAAGCTAAGGGAAATCAACCTGACGACACTGGAGGACAGGAGAGATAGGGGGGACATGATAACGACATACAAAATACTGAGAGGAATTGACAAGGTGGACAAAGACAGGATGTTCCAGAGATTGGACACAGTAACAAGGGGACACAGCTGGAAGCTGAAGACACAGATGAATCACAGGGATGTTAGGAAGTATTTCTTCAGCCACAGAGTAGTCAGTAAGTGGAATAGTTTGGGAAGCGATGTAGTGGAGGCAGGATCCATACATAGCTTTAAGCAGAGGTATGATAAAGCTCACGGCTCAGGAAGAGTGACCTAGTAGCAATCAGTGAGGAGGCGGGGCCAGGAGCTCGGACTCGACCCCCGCAACCTCAACTAGGCGAGTACAACTAGGCGAGTACATACACACATACACACTTGTCTCCACTGCCTCCAGCCTTCTTGTTGTAACATTAACCACCCATGCTTCATATCCATATATGTACATTGGTACCACTATACTATCATACATTCCCCACTTTGCTTCCATGGATAACGTTCTTTGTCTCCAGACTCCTCAGTGCATCACTTGCCTTTTTTCCCCTCAATTCTATGGTTCACCACGTCTTTCATAGACACCTCTGCTGACAAGTCCACTCCCAAATATATGATTACATTCACTTCCTTCATATTCCCTCCCACCAGTCATTACACTAAATTTTTATCCTCTTCACCTTGCTTTCTCATTTCACTTTTAATTTCCTTGTTATACATACCCATCCAAATTCATTCACCAACCTTTGCAATTTCCCCTGCAGAATCTTCCCAAAGTACACATTACTAAGCTATGTTGGTTAAGACATTTCATTTCATTCGCTTAAGAGTGGTGCATGCATCATCACGGTACGAAATGCTGGTCAGGCTCACAATCTTTCCTTTCTTACCTCTATTGATGACACCTCTGTCACGATTCATAAACACATCTCTCGATTCATGCAGTGGTACCGTAGTTCTTCAACATTCCACTCCCTGTTCAACGTGATTTCCAGATGTGCGATGCTGATATTTTGGAACAACTTGAGCTCCAAGACCTCCCAATTCTTAAAGTGGACACTTAAATACCGAGAAATGGTATGATGATACCGATAAGATGTGGAAAAACACTTATGTACAGTTCACGACATTTATTAAAGGAAACTTATCGCCACGAGCGACTTCTATATACTACCTGTTCCCCGCAGACGAAGACGCTTTCCCTGCAATATAGCTCTGTTAACTTTCGACTGTCTGAACTTCCGTTCTCTGTATATTTTGCAAGACACTGTATACAAGTTCAGGAATTGATTCCTACACCACAACAGTGTAGAAATTGCTGGCTCTTCGGCCACTCGGCGAAATAATGCAAGTTCATGACAGAATGCCCGGTCTGTGGTCCCGTTGACCATAGTACATCCTGCAGCCTTCCTCACTCTTGCCTTAACTGCAATGAGCTCATCCGGCTTATTCTAGCCGTTGCCAAGTTTTCTTGAGCGACGAGAAATTCAAAGAGTGTTTCTCTTACGCCATGGCAGTCGCCCATCTCCACTTCCATGGGAGACTTTCTATAACTTTCTTACTCTAGAATTACTAGGCGGCCTTCAGCCTCGGTGGTACTTAGACAATCTCCTCTGTAGTCAGTTTCCACAGTCATGTCTGTATCTGTTTGGCAGCCCTGGACTCAGGTCCTTACCTCCGACTCTCACTGTCCTTACGTTTTTATCTACTTGCTCGCATGTTTCTGTATACTCGACCTCTCAAAACCGCACTATCACCTCGCATCTCTACTTCTCTAAATTCTAAAATACCACCAAAGTTCAAATCTCCTGTAACCTTCTCCGTCACTTGTGCTTCCCAAACATTTTTCAGTGACTAGTACTATATCTATATTGAATGTTTTACGGGTGTGGACGTTCATCCTCCCCCTCCCTCTGTTGTTCCCTCTCAAGTTCCTGCCTCTCCTACCCTCTCCAAAGTGTCTTCCCAAATTACCTCTAACCTCTCATCTCCCTCTTTGGTAACTCCCATTGTCTCTCCAATCTTTACTCGCCTTCCATCTTGTATCTCTGATTTCATACTACATACAACGTCCTTGCAAACTGAAACGATAGAAGCTATCTCCGAATATTCTGAGGAGCCAATGATAGATACCCATCCACCTCCAATCACTCCTTCACATCTCACTAAACCTTTTGCACATCTTTCTTCACAGCTTTACAAGCCTTCGCTGCTTACTAATTTTCCGCTTCCTCCACATTTAGACTTTACTAACCCTACTTGTCGTAGACAATTTATCCTTGTCACTGCACGAACATCTTGCTGTCTCTTCTCCTACCTCATCTACTGCCTCACACCTTCCACACACACTCCATCACACACCTTCCACACACACTCCATCACACACCTTCCACACACACTCCATCTTTGACTTTTTGACAGCAACAGATTTATTACACAAACTTTCATTATACTCCCTTTAGCACTGCTGACGACTCTTACTAACTCTACCTCTAACCCTACCATGGGTGGGGATAAATCCCGCCATCAGAGAGTAGTAAAACTCCAAACCGACGGGCCAGCCACTGGGCCAGCTGGTTAGCCAGTCACTGGGCCAGCTGGTTAGCCAGCCACTGGGCCAGCTGGTTAGCCAGCCACTGGGCCAGCTGGTTAGCCAGTCGGTCTGGAGTTTCATGACTCGATGATCGCAGGTTCTATTACCGCCGTGGTGTGGTATGGTTTGTTTGCAATCGTGTCATTACGATTTCGTGAGTCAACTCTACCTCTGTTACTCTCCATCTTCGCTAGTCTCAGAACAAGCATATTAAACAGTTCACACAGCGCTGTGTAACCCTTCTGGGTTTAGCATTTAGTTTTGATTACATTTGTAATTTAATGGACGATGGAGTGATTTAATGGACGATGGAAGAGCTTAATAAACGAAAGAGTTTTATACTGTAGTATTGTTGGTTTATGGTTTAATCTGTTAAAGAAATTGACTTTACTTTTTTGAAATATTTTTAGTAATAAATTATGTGTGTATATTTTAATAACTTTGTCATGATGATTTAGGATAAAACTTGTATTTTCTTATAATTAACTTGAATAAATCGTTTTAACTTTTCTCTTGCAGCTGAAGATCTGCATCACGACACTGATGACTATTACGCTAGT